GGGCTAACCGGAAACAGAAGGCTGCTTATCAGGATATTAATTTACAATGGAAAAACTCCTTAAGGAATAAAAAAGAATCACTCACGTGAATCTTTCAACTACCCTGTTAGTTCTGGAAGACTCTTGGCTGCGAAGGTGGGAGTAAGGCAAGGAGAGGAAACGATTCCTGGAGGTCAGAGGCGGAAACTCTATTACCCGTCATGCACCGGTCCGATCGTGCCGCCGTCGGGACGTGGCCGCGCTGCGTTATGGGAAGCGTAGTCTTTGTGGGCTGGACTCACCGGGGGCGGGGGGCGGGAGATGAGGTTTCACTTACTTTCCCTTCGTACTGTTGAGAGTTTGTGGCTGGCTTTTGTGTCACCTCGGTCTCTGGTGCGGGAAAGGAAGATTTGTAGTCTGAAGTTCCTTGCGTTTTTAGCCTTATACACTCTGCAGCACATACAAATGATGTCGTTTCGATGTTTGTTTCTGTAATTTAAAGGGAAGGAAGAGGTAGGATATCTCTGGAATTCCCCTGAAATTAGAGTAGACTCTGTTTTTAAGCTACATGAGGGGACACTTCGTAAGGCATAATAGGCAGATCATAGTAAGAGTCCTTATTTTTGTCATTTTCACAGGGTAACAATGGAAATCGTTTTGTGACTATTATCTGATAGTGGGGTATGTTCAAGTTTAGATCCAATTGTCCTCCTCCTCCCCCCGCCCCCCTTCACAAGCAGCAGTTATTACTGAGCAGGTGTTGGCGTTTAATGTTGGCCATCTCTATTGGCATGTTCCTCCAGCTTTAACTACAAATAAGAAACCAGTCTTCCTTGATCTCCCTGCATCACCACTGATCGTTGGGCCTGTCTAGTATCTTAAGATAAATGGTGTCCAAATAAAACCATTTCACTATACACTTAAAGACTTCCATGCAAGTCCTTTATCTGCCTCCTATATAGTTTTTCTGCCCATGCATCTTTTCTATGTGTAAATTTCAGAACAAACATCAACCATAAGTTACAGCACTCTATTAGACTCTTTACATACACTATTTCTAATCTTAATAATCACTGTGTATTCTGTATATTACAGATGAAGAATCTGTGAACTAGAGCGTTTTAAGTAATTTGCTGAAGACCACAAAGCTATGTACTTAGCAGCAGTGCTATGATATCCAACAGCTAGTTTCAGTGGGAATCAGTGACTGCTGATGACCTATTCTATATATATATTTCCCATAGATGAGCTTGTAAGTGCCCTGTCTGGTGCCACGTTGTATGATGGGGCATTAGTGTATTTTTTTTCTCTGTTAAAACAACTAACCAACTTGGTATGGGCAGTAGAAATTTGAACTTCCAGATCTGAATTGCAGCTATGAGCAGGTGTTAGGAAATATCTAGTGGGAGTCACATAGTTCCTAGTCATTCCATGTCACTGGGAGGAGACTTCTGCAGTCATGTGATTTCTTGTATCGTAAAACAACTGACTTCATGTACTCATTCAGTCTTCTCCCTTGCTGGGAAATTGGCAGAGCCATGTTCTTCTGGGTGGGACCAGACAAGTAACCTTCCACTTTATGAATACCAAGAAATAGACAAACTGCACTCATTTCAGAGGGGTTGAGTGCCAATCTGGCCCACCTAGGACCCCCAGAGAAAGCTGCTGATGAGATCCACTATAACCCCAATCTCAGATTTCTTTTTTTTTAAATTTTGTTTTGGTGGGGGGAGATAAGTAGATTGATTGATTGATTGATTGATTGATTTTTAATGGAGGTACTACAGATTGAACCCAGGACCTTGTGCATGCTAGGCATGTGCTCTACCACTGAGCTACACCCCTCCCTCCTACAGACTTCTTTGAACCTGATCTCTGGCCCTTTTTAGGGCCTTCAATTAAGGGAGGTACATGTGTTAAGGGATGCTGGCAAGCGCTGTTCAATAATGGGGTTGGTGTGCGTGGGGGAAGATCTTCACCTTTATTGCTGCCTGACTATCCTTGTCCCTTGGAAACTGAGGCTCAGTATTTTAAAATCCTTATGTATGACCTGTTATTTTGGGTAAGTTGCTATTGTAATCAAGGTAACATGACAGAACATGGAAATGGGAAATTGCCTTTTATATCTTTAGTCTCTATCAGTCTGATTTTCAGAGTTATATTTGCATCATGAAAGCATTCACCTTCAAATGGATTCTTGGGAATGTATGCAAAATAGAAGGACTCTCTGCTCTCCCTGAAATGCCTCTGGTCCCTGCAGACATCAGTGGAGGTTCCCCTCCTTGTGCTGGGACCTGTCTGTGAGTGTAGCAGCTGAAGTGGGCAGGAGAGAGGCTGTTCTGTGTCTTCCTCCTTATTTCATGTGCTGCTGCTCCCGAGGCCTGGCTTGAAAAAAGCAGGACATTCGGCTTAGACAGATGGAGGGCAGGGTCATTTTCAAAATGAAATGAGTGCACAAATCACACTGTGAAATTGGCATGACCATCACTGCTGCTGTGATAGACCGACTTTTATTTAGTCTATGACAGGCAGTTGGGGACTAGATTAGTTTTTTGGGGGTGGTGAGAGACGGCCCTTTAATTAATGATAGAAATTCTGGAAAGCAATAAATGGGGTGGATTATTATAAAATGTCATAAAGGATCATTTTGTTTCCAACAGAATCTTGAAAAGCTTAGTGTATTATACTATTTCTAGCAATAAGAAAGCATTTGGTGGTTGCAATAAAAAGATTTAGTGCCTCATTAAAAGGAACTAGACTTTAGGAAAATGGTATTGGACTCAGGGTGGATTTTGCTGCATAGGGGGAGGCATGTTTACCACATAGAGGAATTCCATTCAGGCAAAATGTATAGGAGCTAAACTCATGACGTTAAGTCCTTCATATGCTTATGTTTCTGCCTGGTGAAATGTGAGATGATCAAATTCCATATTCTATTTGTATGTATAATCTATTTCACATTCTCTTTTTAAATTGTATAGTTATTTTATTAACACATTTGGGGATTTCTGTGCTTTCCAAACTTCTTTTTTTAACTGTGACCCTCATTAAAAACTACTTTTGAAATTGTGAATCAGTGTACACACACGAATACAACTTAAGCAAAAGTTTCAAGAAATAAAACATTTGTTGTATGTGATGCACTCTTGATTCCTTTCTTTACTTTTCTAATCTGTTATTTTCGACTCTGTTCTGTTTCTGTTCATTTTTTTAAAGGGGTTGTCCTTGATCCACCTATTGGTTGTCAGCATTTGACGAAAACGCTTATATTTTGGGGATTATGGTGTTACTATCTAAACTAAGTTATGAGGGAGAGCACAATAACATTATGGTTTATAAATGGAATTACCAGAGAAGGCACAACCATGGATGCTGGCATTTAAAGAAATCAATCAACCATGCAAACCAAAAGCTACTCTAAGCCTCTGTGTTTATGCAGTTCTCTCAGTACCAGGACCAGGTCCTGCTTTGCTTAACTTCTCTCATTAATCCTTCCAGCCCTTCTGTGAATTAGGTAATTCTTACTGTTGGCCCACTTGAAAAGCACGGACTGCAAAGCACAAAGAAGCCTGTGGTTGCCTCTGCCACCAGGCGAGGACTGGCGATTGCTTAAGCTGTCCAGCAGGGGACACACTCCACCTCTTCCTGCTCCCCCGGGCACCTCCTCTCCAGTCATTTGAATTGGCTTTGGATCATTTGCTGCAGTTTGTTCTAATAGGACAGGCACAATGGTGTAAGAATTTTAAAGTTTAAGCACCGAAGCCGTTGTGTAATTGTATGGCGTCAGTGGCTGGCGGCCCTGCATTGATGCAATCCCCCTGTGTAATCGCCCATGCAAATTTGAGCAATCTGTAACAGACACAGGAACCCGCATTGGGCTGCAGATTCTTCCCCCTCCAGGAAAACCTCAATAATTCGGAGAATGTTTTGTCATCTTTAAATGCTCCGTGGACAGGATTATCCCACTATCCCTCCCACACAGGCAGACATCACAGATCGAGACAAGGTTAATGGGTTAAATTGACAGAATTTAAATTGTAGGTATTTGGATGCATGCTTGCCTTGGTCAGCTGTTTATCACCATTCTCAAGAGAAATAAACATTATCCCAGAGCTCTAGTTAAACTTTAAGCCTTTTATTAAAAACACAAACATTTAGGTGTCTTAAAGCAAACTGGTTCAAAATTATGGATTAGTTGCTTGTGAAATGGCCAAGCAGTCTAAATAATGATAATAATGTTCTTATAATGAAACATCAGCTTGGAAAATCAACACAAAGGGAGTGACTTCAAACAACACAATTGAAGACATATTTCCCTTCTTTTGTGTAAAATAATAAATAATAAGGAAGTAAATCAGTAGGGGATCTTTTTTAGATTATAGTACATCCAAATAAAACGGCAAAAGCATTTTTCCCCAAGGGAATGGAGTTGACAAAACCTAAACTCCAGTTTCTATACACTGCTGTTTCTGTTTTTTAAAAATTCATCTAAATATGATTAAACTACATTTAAGGGGAAAAATCGAGATTCTAATACACACACATACGCAGGAAATGAACACAAAGATAAATGATGGCTTCAAATAACACATTTTTTATAGCAAACACTTCATTTACTTAGTAAAACATATTTCTGTACCAGTGTGTACATTCAACGACATTGGTACAGATATGCTACCCAGGTAAGTAACTTATCTTCAGCACTGTTGAGAGATGGACTAAATATGCAAGAACATTCAAATTTAAATTAGAAAAGATGTACAACCCAAATTGCCAGCTGAGGGAAAGGTACCCGAGCAATGTAAGCAGAACGTCAGGCATTGCTAAATCCAAGTGCTCACCAAGAAACTCCCCAGACACGCCATTTTAGTTCTGCCGTCTGTGTGTTTTATTCTATTATTGCTCCCTTATGGAACGTACGAAATTTTGGCCTTCTTGTAGTCAGACTCAACCTTTAAATTTCCTGCTACATTTGAGTTCCTGGAGTTCTTAGCACGTGACAGAACAACAGCTTCAGAGACAACTATTCTGAAGCAGACGATGCAACTTCATGACTTTGCATTGCTAGGGTTTTGAGGGTCCCAAGTTAGGTTTTGTTCTGTTGCTTTAATGAATCCTTTTTGAGTGTTTATTTTTTCCCAGCCAAAACATTTTTTTTTAAGATTTAAATCTTCCCTTAACATGTTTAGATTTCTGTCCTGCTTGAAGGGAGTTGTTTCATACTATTATTGGGGATGAAACTGTATTTTATCTTTCTGTAATTCATTAAGAGTCATCAGGAGAAATGGATTTGAAAATAATTCTCCCACAAAGTAAATTGAGCAGACTGTTTAATGACCTAAGGTAAGTGGATAAAATATGAGAAATTCTGATACATGAAAAAAGCTGCTTAATTCCTGTATTAATGTTAGATAGTGTTACTTCACTAAAAAATTTTAAAGATTATTTCTAACCCAACCCAACATGTATGCAAATATAAAATACTTGGAAATATGCAGACAGAAAACACACGTGCAGTTTTAATTTCTTTGGACTCACTGTATGAATTTACTTCTAAATTTAATTGACTACTATTTACGGGATATTGATATGAGGTAATCTAAAATTGTCCTTTTTGAAATAAAAGGGTATATTTTTAAAAAACTGTACTGATGATCATATTTTTCGTGATCACTAAAGGCAGGCTCAGACGTGTGTGGCAAGGATGTTTTTATATCTACACTACGTACGTAACTTTTTATTTTATCTTTAGTGAGAAGGTGACTTCTTTGCTCCTATTTTGTTTGAGAAGAGTAAGTAAATAAGACAGTCATATGGACGCATCTTTAAAAGGTAAATACAGCTTGGTCCTTTGGTGTAGACATGAACTGAATGAAAGTCAGTGCTTTTATTTCACAGGTGGAAAACCCGAGCCCTATGAGTCCCAAGATAACAGGTCCAGCCGATGGCCAAGCCAGCTGGGAGCCCCATCCACTGTGCACTGGGTGGTGCTGTTTACGCTTGCCAAGCTGTCCCTCTTGGCCGGCATGGCCAGCTACATTGTAGGCTGTGCATGTGTTATCCACATACTACTAATAAAAGAATAAATAGCCTGCCTGGAAAATATACACTTCGGGGAGAAAATAGGATGAAGTCATTTCAACCGTCAATGCCAAGAGACTGGAGGAAGCAAACGTCATCTGGTCAGTTGGAGGCTTTCTTAGAAGGCTCCCATTTCAAATGCCTTCCTCCAGCAGGAAATAAACACTAATTATAGGGACTGGGAAATTTTCTCTTTCTCTAATTTGGAAAAATAGGACACACAGGTAACCACATGTAGCTCAAATTCTTGGAAAATTCAACATTATTTAGAAAAGGGATTTAAAAATACCTCAAACTCCCAAGAGTTCAACCTCTAACCCTGTGGGTTGCTGGCACCAGAAAGGCTGCTCCCCTCCTTTTCTACTGTTTCATGGTCGTGGAGGAATAGACCCAGGGCATTAGTCAGCAGTTTCTGAATTTGACCCACCATAGGAAAGATAACCCCGAGACAGGAAAAATAGATGGAGGCAATTACAAACAGCCACTTGATTGATGGTTGACATTGTCAGGGCTCCACTGTATGGCAGATTGCAATGGTGTTGAACTCCCCTTGCTACCAGTGGACGTTGCTATTGGCAACCGTGCAGTGAAGCCAATAAAAAGGCAAGGAAACGAGAGGAAAATTCAACCTTAGTGGAAGCCGCAGGGTTTGTGCTATAAATTACGTTCCCCTTAGCAATATGCAGCATCAACGTTCGGGGTGGCTACAGTGCTTGTAGCTGCCTGCAGTCTCCATCGGACCCGGGGTCTAGTTTTATCATAAAGCGCATGCTTTCAAACGTTGCTCCAAATAGACTGGCATGCGTCTGTCTGGGCTATTTATTTATTTATTGTTGGGGAGGATGACAGATGTGGGTTCATCTCTGCCTCACATGGACTGATTTTTCAATTCCCGTTTGTGATATAAACAAGAAGTGACACAATAGCTAGAAACACCTGCAGTGCTTCCGAGCTGCAGACACACGACCAGGGTCTGTCCCTACCTCCACCCACCCTTTGTTCCTCACCTGAAGGAGGGAAGACAGCCCGGCAGAAGCTATTTCCTTTACAGCATAGTGATTCAGAAAACTGGCTTAATAAAATCCATAAATCTGAACAACCTTCTCTTACCTGCTCTGCGGAGGCAGTTTTGCCTGCACTCATTTTCTCCTCCGGTTTCTCCCATCTTCCCTGCAGAGACAGCTGTAAAGGGTAGCAGGGAACATTATTTTTTAGGGCTCCCACTCCTTCCTCCTCTCTTTTGTCAAACCCTTCCCTGCTCAAGTATCATTCTTTTCTAAGCAATTGATGACAGGATTCTGGACCTTCATTTTTTGGGTTAGAAGTGCCATTTCTCTTTGTTTGGGTTGACTTTCACCTCTCCTCTGGCAGTTCTCTTACCACCTGCCTTGGTCCCTATCTTTATTAGTCGTTTTCCTTTGCTTCTCCTCCTCATTTTCTTTCTTCTCCTTTCCTCCCACTTGCTTGGTTTATAATTTTCTTTTATTTCTGGCCATATAGAATCTTACTTCTTCCCTACTAATATCTGCTCTTCCCTCATTTCCATTTTGGTACCTTAATTTATCCACTCTTTTTTTAAAAAAAAAAATTGAAATATAGTAGACATACAATATTGTGTTAGTTTCAGGTGTACAGCAAAGTGATTAGGTTATACATATACATATATATTTTTTTCCCCAATTCTTTTCCATTATAGTTTATTACAAGATATTGAATATAGTTCCCTATGCTATACAGTAAATCCTTGTTATTTATCTATTTTATGTATGGTGGTGTGTATCTCTTAATCCCATACTCCTAATTTATCCCTCCCCCACTTCGCCTTTGGTTTTTACCCATCCTTGAAACATTTCCTGAACGTCTACTATGTGCCTGGAAAACAATGTCCTTGGTAGAGCTTGGCCCCTATTTCTTCAATATTTGAGTAGTAAAGTTAATAACTGATACTGACCAGTAACAAGAAGAACAAAAATGGTTTATAAATTTTCGATTTTTCAGAGCTGGAATGGACTTCAAGAGTCATCTGGTCCAGGGATTTTTTTCAAACTCTTCAGCGCCCCCTTAGGGCCACCATGTATGTAATCAAAGAGGTAAGGATTTGTAGGGGCTCTGGCTCCCCCAACCCTCAAACCCTCAGAGGACTTAGGCTTTTAGATGTTTTATATCAGTGAGGTTATTTGTAAGATTTATTTGAACAAAGAGTTCTAAGGTTAAATCATGTTTGAAAATAATTTCCTAGTGTAATCTCATTTGACAAACAAGGAAAACACCTGGGAGAAGTTAAGTGACTTGTCCCAATCCATCTAGTGCATAATGCCAAGGCTAGGGTGTAAGTCTAGCCTCCAGGCCAGTGCTCTTTGGCTGAGACCTACCATGTCCTCACTCTCTCAGCTGAAATGGGGAGTAAAGTCGCTTTTCAGTCATTGCATCTCTTTATTATAGCTTAAGCTTACCTATTATAAATGTAGTTTTCTATAGAATATTTGTCCTCTACCCAGTCTGTTATTTCTTTACCTTTCAAGCATTATATCTTAAGCTTAAAGGAAAAATCCAAAACTGGGGACCCCTCCATTTGGCATTAGGTTTGTACTGGTAGTAACCTTTAATTTTATACCAAAACGCATCACTAGGAGAACTCAAGGTAGTCAGTGGTCATTCACCACAGCTCTGCTGTGTCCTGTGAAATGTCTCACTGTTGGAGACAGTTCTGAATGTCCATGTGTACTTGTGGTAAATCCACTTATAGATTTGTTTTCATCCTTACTTTAATTAAAGTCTATTAATCCATTTCTTCTGGGAAGAGGAGGTCTACATTGAAGACTGAATTAAAAAACTGAAAAGAAGGACCACAATCCCAGTGCAGTGTTATGAATCTTGTATGAACACCAGTCAGACAAACACATTTGCTGTCTTTCTACTATGGGTCTTTCTGGAGAAAACTGGGAATGGTTGGTAGTTGTAAGGATAATATAGTTTATCTTTTACGTAGGCAATTCTAAAGGCTCTGATCCATCATTAAGAAGCTTTAGGATTAAAAATAAAATATCTCTACAGAATACAAATTGGGATTCTTGGGACAGCCTGGCACAAAATAGGGCTCAGGAGAGGATGCAGAGGCAGGCATTGTTTGGCTTGGAACAGACAGAACAGCCATACACAAAATGAAGCCGTGTAATGACGTCTTCACTGCTGGGTGTTCTCTCGGCTCAGAGTAAGCAGGGTCAACTGTCCTTGGGTGCTGGATCCACAGAAGTCCTCTGTCCAGAATCTTGGGCTCAGTCCACACGTGTTCGCAGGGAAAGGTGAGGGTCCTGGAGTGTGCTCCCTGCCCCCCCCCCCGCGTCCTTTCTGCTGACCACAGCCAAGGTGAGAGCCCAGGCACCCCCTCCCCAGCACATCCCTGAGACTTTACGTCTGTTCGAGCTCAAAGGAACAAAAGAACGATGTGGCGGGACCGCAGCTGGCTCTTCAGGACACAGTCATTTTGTAGCCGTGGCTGACCTGGAGGGTTAGTTTCTGTCCTCCCCGGTGACCATGAGGCTGGCAGAGGGGGGAGAGGCAGCCGAGACTTGCAGCCTTTTCTGGTGCAACTCTTCCCACTTACTTCTGTTCACAGCCACCGAATCCAGCATCGGCTTCAGTTTCACATTGACCTTCACCAACGCCTAAAATAAAACAAAAGCAGGTGGAGGAGAGGAACCGGAGTCACTGCTGTGATTTTCTAGCTTTTACGTGTGAGGAGAATGGAAACTGCTGTAAGAAATGGAAGTGATGATTTTGGTAAACGTGAGCTATTTGCAAGAAATAACTATGCGCTTAACGCCACTGTGTTGCATTAATAAAGCTCATGCAGAAAATGAAAAAATACCACAGGTGTCTGTGTACTGCTCCAGGGGGTGTCAGCCAATTTGATTATGATCCTGTTTTAAATCCACATCAAACAAGACAGGAAACAAAATATCCAGCTCACAGGAGTCTACTAATATGTGTATCTTTGCCTGCTGGGAAGGGCTCCAGGCCTCAACAGACCATGAACTGAAATTTTTACAAAAATAAACCTATCATTTGCTCCACGATAGATGACTCTGGGTAGACTTACTGGAATGAGAAAGGCCAGGTCAAATCCTGAAATGAGCTCATTTTTAAAGCAAAGGATCTGGGAACTGTAGTAAAGGTACAGAACAACATGAGAACATGTATGGAAACAGACACTAGAGAAAAGAAAAAGGCGTGGAAGAGAAGGGCCAAGGGAAAGGCACAGGAGAGACGAGGGAGGAGAGAATGTAGGGTGTGGCTGGTGGCCGACTGACCACAAGGCTAGTGAAACTCAGAATCCAGGGTCCTCCCATGCGGGAGACCCTTCTAAGTATTTCCTTTTGGACTTAATTTTGTGTTATTTTTTTAAAAGGTTCCCCTACTCCCAAATGGTACAAACTTCCAACCTCATAAAACTTGGATCGGCCCTACAGTGGAACAAAGCAATGAATAAAACAAGGATCATGGCACTGTGGGGGGTTAGCCCATGGAAAGGTAATGGTCCCACTTTATGCCTTGGGTCAGTGTTCGGTGGCCACAGATTACACCCCTCGGTCAGATACCCTGCTGATGTGTCCTATTCATCACAAGGGGAACAAAAGGTGACACTGTGACTTACCACCGCGTTGCAGCATACCTCTAGAAAAGCCTTCTCTGAGCACGACCTGCGGTTAGCCGGTGCGCAAGAGCAAAGTCCTCCAATAGCAAGAACAACTCTTTCTGTCAAGGATGGAATTCCCTGCAAACTGTCAGGAAGAGCTGATGTAGCTCCTCAAATAACCCTCCACTTCCCGGAGCTTCAGGGATATGAGTGAAATGTAACTAGATGTAAGATAAGTGGGGGTTGAGAGCCCAGGAACCATCAGGGCTCCTATTGAGCGGTGAGCCCTCCACCCTGGCCGAGCTGGTGTCCCTGCACGTTCAAGGCCCTTCCACTGAGCATATTCCCTCTTTGATAAGCGATATTTATCACACCAGACAACAACATCTGATTTTACTTTTTAGGGGGGAGGTAATTAGGTTTAATTATTTACGTTTATTGGAGGTACTGAAGCTTGAACCTAGGACCTCGTGCATGCGAAGCACACACTCTACCGCTGAGCTATACCTTCCCCCTAATTTTAAATCAGATGTGTTTGTTATTCCATATGATAACAAATCACAGCAATATAATAACATAGGCAGTGATCAAAATCCCCTTTACTTGCATGAGAAAAATGCAGGTGTCTGTTTTCTGCTCAATGTAGTGTTTTTATTTAGACAACAGTGTGAGAGGTGGTGACGAATGCCATGGTTTTTAGTATAGTTTGGCACCGGCTTCTCTTCAGTCTGATCAAGGCTTTTAATTAAACTGACTACTATAATTCCTATGGAAATTAGTGTTTATGTTATTTTCCTGCTACAAAAGCATTTCTTTAGAACTTAGTAGTTTTTTTTTTAATCCCAGGAGCACAAATTGGAATTTTTTTCTGCATGAAATGTAATTAAAAACTCATTTGATTACTATAGTTCTGGCTCTGTTTTACTTATTAAATTCCTGTAATCAGTTTTCTTTTATGAAGCTGCTGGGAAATGATCTCAAAAGCAACACATTTTTCTCTTCCTTGGCAGGTTCCCGAGCATTTACTAAATTACATTCATAGCACCTGCCCATGATTCGAATTACTCTACCAATTTATTCCTTAAACCGTTTAAGTTTATTTGGCTTAGCCCCAAACAGATTGCTTTCCTTTATCTAGCTCTTTGTTCTCCGTCTTGCTTCCTTTGTGTTGAATAAAAAAAAAAATTGAGGTGGTGGTACATACTTCTCAGAATTCCTTCTTCTCTTTATTTCATATTCTCCTTAAACATGGAATAGCCACACTGGAATATCATTTTCCTCTAGTCTGGTGCTGGTTCTAGGCAAAAGTAGGAAGAATCTCATCCTGAAGATTTACTCTTACATCATAAATCTGATACACAAAGGCAGTTAGCTGGGAGAATATGGAATAGAATATTAGGAAGGCAAGGGGTTATCCACAAACCTAAATCCCAAGGTTTATGGTGATTATGCGCAATGTACCATCAGCAAGAAAATTGCTCCCAGGGGGGAGGGTGTAGCTCAAGTGGTAGAGCCTATGTTTAGGATGCACAAGGTCCAGAGTTCAATCCCCAGTACCTCCTCTAAAAATAAATAGACCTAATTACCTCCCCCCACCAAAAAAATTAAAAAAAAAAAAGAAAAAGAAAATTGCTCCCAGTATTTAGAAGGATACAAGTATTCCTACGAACTTCTCACCAGCGAGTGACACCTGATGAGTTCTATGCAAATGCCACTAGTATCTGTCTCATTTGACGTGCTCTTCATTTAGTGAAAAAGGGAACACATCACGCATCTGCTCCATACACACACAGAGGGACTCTAAAGGTTATGTGCATGGTGCGATCGCCAAAAGATGCTGGGTCTCCTTTGTGACATCCGTGCAGCATGACCACTCACAGTGTTTAAACATGTCGAGAGGCAGTGAACTCACTACTGCCCAGGGTTTGGTGGTGGGGGTGTCAGGTTTCCTCTTTGTTCTGATTTTAGAAATGTTATTCTTTATATTGAGCTGAAAGCTATATCCCTGTGACTTGGACCAGTGGTTCTAATCCTTGGGGTGCTCTCCCTTTAAGATGGAATCTACTTTAGGATTGGTTTACTGACCTAAAAACCCAATTTGAGCTGTGCGGCTTATTGTCCAATGGGGCAACTGTATGGACATCACTGGGACTCCCCTGGCCCTTCACAGACAGGATCCTGGATACTGGCCCTATTAAATGCAGCCCTGGACATCTAGTCATCCAGGGGGCTTAGGGACCCCACGTCCTTTCTGACTCCATTCACAGTCCATTGCTGAGTCCACTTGTGACTGGCATGAACAGTTTATTCCATATTTTGTTATGCTCTGAATAAGTAATACCACATAGTCCACTGGATATGAAGGGTACAAAACATACAATGTAAAAATCTCCCTTCATCCTCTGCCTCAGACACTTAGTTTCCTTCCCTAGCTGTTATCAGTTCCCCAGGTATCCTTCAAGAAACATTTCATGCCTATGTAAGCATTTGTGTAGATTATGTATATAAGTACATCCATTATATATGCATAATGCATATATGTATAACTAAGTTGATTCCCTCACCTTTTGGGGCATTTCTTTCAGAGAGGGAGTGAAATCAGTTCCTTGTGGAACAACATTATTATTGATGCTTGAATGAGACTAAGTATACTGAGCAGAAATTAGCATCTGGAGTACATGGAGAGGAGAGGGATTAAACTGCAATTTTCTATTGCTGTGTCACTGAGTTTTTCTTCTGCAGAAATTAATCTGCCATGAGTCCCATCTACTGTAGTTTTCCTCTCAAAAATTGTAGTCTTCATTTCTAGAAGTTTGATTTAGGTCTTTTTTCTGTCTTCCATGACTGCTGATCATGCTCAATCTTTCCTCTACTCTTTTGAACATATAAAATATAATAAATATCGAAATGTCCTTCTTTATCAATTCTGTGAGCTGTATAATTTCTTAATCTATATTGACTGGTTTTTCTCATTATTATGGTCAAATTTTCTTGCTTTTTTGCATGCTTGATAATTCCTGAGTGGATATCAGACATTGTGAATTTTATGTTGTTGGGTGCTGGATTTTTTTCTTTTTTTTTGCCTTTCTTTTTTTTCTCTCTTTTTTTATTGAGTTATAGTCAGTTCACAATTTTTTAATTTCTTTAAACAGTTCTGTTTTATTCAGGAATGTAGTTAGGTTACTTGGAAATAATTTGATGGGTACCTGAGAATAATTTGATCTTTTGAAGCTTTGCTAGGTGGGTCCAGAGCAGCCTTTAGTCTAGGGCTGGTTCGGCCTCACTACTGAGACAATAATCTTCTGAGAACTGTACCCAAAACTTCATATATTTCAAGATTTTTCTCTAAAATTCATTAGCATCTTCACCCAACTGCCCAACCCAGAAATCTATGGCTCACCCATAACATCTTCCTCTTCCCCCACATTCAAACTATCACCAGGTCCTCTCAATCCTACTCTCCATGTGTCAATCTATACTATTTCTAACACCCTAGTTCAGGCTACTGTCACTCTCTCCACTGCCTTAAACTTGCTGTAGCCTCCCACCTGGGCTCCCTGCTTCCGCCCTTGCATCCTGTCCAATCAGCTCTCCACACAGTAGCCATCCTGGAGTGGTCAACCAAAAACACACATCTAAGCCCGCTGCTCTCTACCCTGAACCTTTTCACTGGCTCCCATTTGATATGAATGTGTTGTAAGACCCTCCAGAAAAGGAGAATCGTGGTATTAGAAGAGAATGAAGTCTAGAAATAAACCCAAAAAAGAAAAAAAAAGCAATAAAGCCCAATGGAAAATTTGCATTACAAAAACAGAACTTTGAAATGCAAAATGATCCCGTTGAGTCTTCTAGAAAACCTGAAATACACATCTTTCTAGGCATTTTAACATTTTTCTGAGTAAAAAAAGTAAGCTAAACTCCACATGGTGTGTTTGGCAGGGGAGTAGCCATAGTGTTAGTTACTACATGCGAGAGCAGATGGAGCTGGCGGTGGGGTCCAGATGGGAGGCAGCAGACAGATTCCTCCTAAACCTCACTCCTTCCCTCCCCAGTTCAATGGCCTTTGAAACTCAAGGCTGTGTAAAAATTAATTTGCATTAAATTGCTTAAGATAATGTATTAACTACTACAGGAGGCTTCCAGCAGTTTTTAAAACTTGCTTCGAAAACAAATAATCAAACAATAATGGTGAACACAGAAGCGAGCCAAGACTGCTTTGGATAAATGTT